CGACTTCAGCTCCCAGAGTTGAAGTCCACGCATCTTAAAGTTGCCAAGGTTGAAAAACACTGCTCTAGAGGCTTAAGCTGTGAGCACTGGGGGCATAGAGGTGATTTGGTCCCAGAATGGTTGGATCTTGCAAAGGGTTTTGGAAGTAATTTTGGGGAAGACGTCAAAGAGCTGATAAGAAAGGACTTGGAGAAGCAATTGCACAGTTGAGAGATTGAAGCAAGTGCAAGAAAGAACCTCCCAGTTACCTTGCCTTGATTTTCTTTAGTTCAAGATGGGTCTGAGAGAAACTTGGACAGGCTTTCAAGATTGATGTCAGCCCTTCGGGGTAGGCTGGGTCACGACAAAGACCCTGCGGGGATTCCAAGAAAGCTACCTTATTGTAGTAGGGTATAATAACTGAATCTTATTTTGAGTTTCTTTTTCACACTTTCCTGTATCTCAGGACTGTCATCGCTTCTTCAAGTCCATCCTTAAAAATGACTCCAGGGTCATCTCTAAATTCCTTGGCTGCTCTCAAGCACTGGGGCGGTTGGAAGAGAGCCCTTTTGAGGTTGAAACGCTCCCGAAATGCTCCGAACGACCCGTTTTTGTGTCTGAATGTTCCATGGCACGAGGTTCTTTCCGTTCCTGGCGTGCTGCTTTCCTCAGATTTCTGGAAACCATGGTTTGAAGGAGACTTTTGGTGGTTTGAGTTTTAGGAACTAAGATTCAGCATCCTCAGCATTATGGGCTCAGAGTTCCCAGTTTTTTAATCAGGTCAGGTCTTGGTGATTCTTCCACATATATCAGTGTTTCCTGATCCAGGTGGATGCTAAATCATGGCGTTGTTGCTCAGAGGGTGTGGGAAATTTTCAAAATTTCACACGTGATATTTTATAGAACGGCTGTGGCTAGTATCTTTGAAAATATTTGGAGCTTGAAGCTGAGGTTGGAATGCTTCTCTGATGCTCAGATGCGGAGTTTTGTGCTTGAAACGGGACTCTGCGTGAAAGCGGGTGCTTGAAACAAAATGTTTTACCCACCTCTAGTTGCTAGGGTTTTCTTTTTTACCAGCTGCAAATTCTTTCTTTCTTTTTTTAAAAAAACATCTTTTCAGTTAATTAATCCATATAATTCATCGCAAAGAATATTTATAGCTTCTTAGATGTGCGGTTTTTGTACAGGCGTGCAAACCGTCCTCAGAATTGTCAGGGATGAGATGAATCCTCCAAATTAAGGAAGTAATCAAGTTATATATTCTGTCATTGCAGTCTAAATTAATGCAGTGAGCAGTAGGCAGGCTTCAAACACATGTAATGAATTGACAGAGGTGCCTGTGGTTAATGAAAAAAACCCTGAACTTCACTAGCTCCCAGATTTGATCCACCCAGCGGCTCCCCCCCACGTCCCATTCCTGTTGTTTCTTGAGCTGAGTTCCCTTTCTCTCTACCACTCCCCCCTCCCCTCCCATTTTTGTTTTTCAAGGCAGAAGGCTCTGAGGCTGAAGTGACACAGTGCCAGCACATCTGGCCACAAGATGGGGGAATGGCAGAGGATCTTCCTGCAGAACCTAACAGTGCCTCCACGTAACCCGAGGAGACGGAATTTGCCACCCCAGCGTTCAGTGCCTTTTCAGTGCGTCTTGAAGAGCGTGCAGGGGAATGCCCTGAAACAAGTAAGGCTGAGATCGTCAACGCAGTGGGGGTGGGCGCACTTCTTCTGTAGATGCGCGCCAGTCTAAGGTCCAGCCCTCTTTGAGGTTTTCGAGAACAGTGTTGTCAGAGAGGTGGGCCCGTAGAGATGGCACAAAACCAGGTGGGGTAAGGCAGACTCTGCTTTAAAACAATAACAGATTAGAGCAGTGTTTCTCAACCAGGGCAGTTTGAAAATGTATGGACTCCAGCTCCCAGAATTTATTTATTTATTTATTAAATTTTTCAACTGCCCATCTCCCCCCAATGGGGGAACTCTGGGTGATTCACAATAAGCATTAGAACATAAAATATAGAAACACATAAAACCATAAATTAAAACATAACTAAAAAGAAGAAGGAGAGATCAAGGGGATGAAAACCTGAGGTTGAAGGCCGAGGTCTCTATGGGGCTAGCCATCCCCATGCTTGAGGTGTTCTCACCCCACCCCAGGCCAGGTGGCAGAACCAGGTCTTCAAAACCTTACGAAAGGCCAGGAGTGTGGGGGCTAATCACATCTCCGGGGGCAGGATGTTCCAAATTCCCCAGCCAGCCATCATCTGCAGCACCAGGACGCTTTATTACATTTTGAGAGGCAGCTGGTGGGCCCAGAAAAGCGGAAGCCCTTGAAGCGAAGAGCATTTGGGTTATCTGTGCCTTGCCCCCTGGTCATGACAGAAGGGGAGGAATGCCCGTTAGATGAATTTGGGATCATTATAGCGGTATTTTTATAAAACACCAAGTTGATTTCGATTTCGAGCAACCTGAGCAGGTTTTGTCCTTAGATGAGAGGCCACCCTCAACTGGGAAGTTGAAAGAAGGGGGCGGTAGCCAAGTGCTTTTAACTGCTGTCAAAGCTACATCCATGTGTCTGACCTTTTACATCGAATACACAGACAGAATCTCTCCTTACAAGGGCTGTGAGCAGCCCGCTTGCATAAGTGATAATTCAGCGCTGCCCTCTGTGGTGATGGTGCCAGTCTAACCCCGGTGCCAAGGAGTTGCTTCTCCTGGCTGAAAAGTGATGTCTTTGTGAAGAGTTGGAGTGCAGGTAGCGGCCTCCCACTGCGTTTATGCTCCGGGAAATCCATGGTCCACAGCAGCGGCCAGAGAATGTAACTTGTGCAGCAGCTGAGATTTGAAATTTTAGCTGCTGCTGCTGCTGCTGCTTGGATGACAACACCTGTTTTTAAAAATCTCAGCTGTGTGTTGTGTTTCTTGCAGCCGGAGATATGGGAAAATTGGTAGATACATTTCAGAGTATAAATATTTATAAATCTGCCTTCCTTCCTTGATTGCATTCATACAACCTCTATTCTTTTGGATATAAGCCAACTAAACAGGCTAGGTTTGCGCATCGCTAAGCCACAAAAACATTTAAGGGTTGCAAAGGCGCACGCTTCACCTTTTCCTGACCTTAATGCTTGAATTATGTCTCCCTTTCTGCTCAGCCCTGCCACAGGTAATTATGGAGATAGCGTGGCCCAGTTCAGAGGTCTGGAAATCCTGCACCATCAGTATGTTAAAGCAAGGCTTTTACAAATTCAGCATGACAGAGTAGAGATGGAGAACAGCGGCTATTTCAAGCAGTGCTTGCCTTCCAGGCTGTGCTGGTATAATAGATCACTTGGTCCTCCTGCTTTCTAGCCTGGGATTCTGAAACAGAGAGCATTCAGCAGGCTGGAGCTCTGGGCCGCTAAATAATGCACAACAACTAAATCTTTAATAGCCCGCCTGCCCGTATCGCCTTGCTGCAATCCAGGCCTTGACGAGGGCATTTGGAAGCGAGGCGACATTTGGAGGGAAAATGATCAGAGTTCCCTACTGGTAGCAGACAACGCGGCCCGTTTCTCATCAGAATGTGTTCGCAGTATTTACCGCTTTTCTTTTAAGGAAACAAAACATGAGATGCTGTCTGGTTTTAATGTACAGCTGGGACGTCGCTATCCCCAAATGCAGAGCCTGGTTTCTGGTAAGAGCTGGCCGTTAGGAGAATGCAGAATGAAGGTTCTGGGGTGCCCCTGTTTAGTGCAAGGGGTTGAGGCAGGAGCGCAGGTCTTTCTGTGCCCAGCGTTTAGCGCTCTTGCCAGAACTGGATGTTCCACTAGGACTTCAGTGTAGACCGAGAGCACTCTACTGTGTACAGTTGGTGTGCCAAAGTGGGTGTGTTTTTGCATGCAAGGAACGATTATCTGAGCTTGGCCTTAATTGCCCCCAATCCTGTTCCTTTTTGATACGGACATATAGCACTTAGGAGTGAAAACGAAAAAGGGTGCTTTGGACACCTGTTGTCTGTTTGCCCCAGACCAGGCAGGAGGGGCAGTGGAGGCCCTGACCTAGTCTGGATGGTATAAAAGAGATTTAGTGCTGACCCTGACTCTGGCAAAATGGCCTCAGAGATGGGGGAAGGTGCTGGGTGATGTCGGGGGTCTTGGGGGACCGGTGCAGAAGCTTCCAAGGCCTTCATGGCACAAACCCAACCAAGGCAGGAACAGGGGAGGTGAGAACCACCTTTCTGATGCCCACCATGGTAGTTCAGGAGCTAGAGAAAGGGTTCAAGGTCTAGGAACCTTGCCTTATTCCCCCCCTCCCCCCAGCACTGCTTTCTGCAGAAGAGTTATTGACCTCATTGCTCACTCATTTGCAAAAAAGGGAGAGGGGCTGAAGAGTGAGCTGAAAGCCACGACCTTGCCCTCAAGATCTCAAGCCTCAAATGTCTGAAGCTATGTGGAGAATCCCGTTTTCAGAGGGGAGCAAGACATGAGCCACGCATGAGATCTGACTCTCAGGAGATTCATTCTGGGAAGAGGAATTTTGGCTCTCAATCCATACCTCTCCATCAGGTTTATTCAGCATTGACCTTTTTCAAGGATGCTCCAGGTTGATTGGCTGAGGTGCTCAACTGAAGCATAATAATCCAGCAACTGGTGTCTCTCCAGGATCCCAGGGGACAGCGGGGAGATTTTCCCCTCTTGTGGATCTCAGAGTCCCATTCCCGGATTCCCTCACTGAAATAGCCAAGTGGAAGTGGACGGAGGCAGCTACGGTCAAGGTATCACCAGCTGCAGCAAGCAAGTTGTCTGTTCCCTCCGTAATGGGATTTTGGAATGGGTAGCCGTACTAGCATCCGTGAGCTAGGATCAGCCCAAACAATCAAAATCAGCAATTTTGAAAGGGGAGGGGAGGTGTTCATAGATCCCTATAAATGAAGGGAAGTCCTTCATCCTCCGAATAAGGTGATATCCTCCCTGAAATGCTGTTGTTGCCTATCTCCTAAGAGAAGACACCAACAAACATACAAAAAACTTGTGGTGAACATCTTTAGGGACTGCCGGTTCTTTGCAACCAGATCTGTGGCTTCAGAAGTGGGGCGCAATGGGCTGATGGCTCAGACATGGGAGACGGATGACCAGTTGAAGGCCAACTTGGCAGCAAAGCCTCTTCTTTGGAAGAAGCTGTTTGGAAAGGCCATCAAAGTGGATAGGAAGCAACCCTTGAGGAAGGAGGAGAGCAAAATCCTGCAGCAAGGAGAGACATCTCATGATGAAGGGGGCAAAAAAGGTTTTACAGGCATGGAGACAACAGAGTCCATACCTCAGAAGAGGTGGTCTCCACCGTGTTTTTTTCTTTTCAGCAACAAACTAGATTGGAGCGCTATCCTGAGCCTCAAGTTGCAGAATAAATTCTTCAGACAGCTCATGGATAGAGACCTGGAAGTCGACCGCAGAAAGTCATCCTGCTGGATGACTTTCTAAATTTGGTAGGCTAGTCAGTAGCCTGCCTACACGACTCAGAAGGAACGCCCCATCAGATCTACTTCGCTTGTACATGAGAGTGGTGCAAGGGCAAAAGTTTGATGGTGGACTTCCTGTGAAGTACCTCTCTGGCCTCACCTTATTTAGGAGTGGACATAGATTAAGAGAGGGCCCAGGGCTCCAAGGTGTGAGTTACTTTACTGCTATACAGTAGCTGTCACGTCCTGTCTTTCTATTTCCCACCGGTCTTACAGGTTTGTTCTTACAGTGGAATACATGATAAAGGAGGTGTGGAACCACTCTCAGCTGGTCAACACATGCGACCAAGCCAAGGGGTTTCCTCCATCGAACAAAAAGAAATCTTAAGCCCCGCCTTCTAACTAGAAGAGGTGGAGCTAACCCTTCCATCTCCTGTTGGGTCCATCTTTTGGTGACTTCGTGTTAAATATAATTTCGTCTTTTTAACTGTAACTGGCTAATCGGGTGATCAGATGGTTATGATTCGCATATGGGCAATCACCTGGAATTCTTAGCAGAAAGCTAGTTATACGTCTAATTTTAAAACACATCTCTTCCAAACAGATAAAAATGGCTGGCTGGCTTGTCTTTGGGATACGTTTTCCATCCATCCTTTGTTGTCCCCTCTTGAAGTTCCAAATGTGCATTTTGGCCTCAAAATGTTGCTTCTCTCTGTTCTGGAGTAATTCACCTTTGGTACTTTGGTTGGATTTCCTGCCTCCTCGGCCATCTCTGAACCCTTCCTTGGCCAAGATAAAGTGCCAAAATCCTGCCCTTTGGTAGCTCCTTGAATCTGCTGTCTAAGTTGACCTGCTTCCATTGATATCCCTGAGGACTAGGATTTGGAGTCACCCTGAGCCAGTTTAATCCCCTGCTATCCCCCCCGCGTTACCCTGTTCAATTTTAGGAGAACGATTTTGGCTTTTCTTTGCCTAGATGAGCATTGGAGTTGGGTCTTCCCCAGTCACAACATAGCTGTCTCCTAAGATGCTCAGATTGTGAGATCTGTTGGCCTCCTCCTTCTCCGGAGCTCTTCTGTAGACCAGGAGCATTAGGTGCAGGAGAAACAAGACCACACCGCCGTCTTGTCCTGATAATCCATCAGTGCAGTTGGTGGAAATTTTAGCTTTGAGTGGTTGGTGCGTGCTCCTCGATGCGTGTATTGATTGTAACATCTTTCTCTCTCTCTCTCTGTCTCTCTCTTTTAAAATCTTGGTTGCTTTAAAGGTTTTATCAGAAAAAAACAATGTGTAAATAATTCAAAGGGTCCTGAGTGCAGTGTCACACACCAAACTGCTGTGTGGCTTCTTGATTTCACTGTCACCTGGCATGGAGACCTGTGTTTTGACTTTTGAAGATGCTTGCTTGGAATTAAGTCCCACTGCCTTCTCAAGCTGCTCTGTCGAGTGATCTCACCATTTGTTTTCTGTGATTCACAACGTTGTAGGTTTAGAGCAGTGTTTTTTCCAGCCTTGGCCACTTTAAGATGTTTGGGCTTCAACTCCCAAAATTCCCTAGCCTGCATGAGTTCTTAAAGTGGCCAGGGTTGAAAAACACTGGTTTAGGGCATACATGGAAGCCCAGTGTGTCATCAAGGAGAATCCCCGTCTCTTGCTTTTTCAGGAGATTGAAAGAGCTGCAGTCAGGACTGGATAAACTAGGTGCAATTTACTTTCTTCCTCTTGGAGATATCCCTTCTCTGTTTCTCTCTCCCTACCCCACGTTGATGGTGCTAATTCGTCTCACTCTTCCATCTCCTCTTGGCAGAAAGCTCTGGAGAACATGTTGGATGTGGAATTCCAGCTGAGGCTTTCCCTCTTTGACCTTGCCTATCACCACTTCTTTGGCAAGACTTGGAGAAGCACCACAAGGCCTCTGAAATCCGCCCCGGGGCAGCTCCCCTCCGTGGTCTTCAATGAGGTAAGGGCATGATAGCGAGTCGTGGCTCAGGTCGGCTGGGAATTCTGGGCGTTCCAGTCCCAACACAGGCGGAGGAGACGTCTCTCTTCAACAGACCAGCCTGACTTTGTAT